CTTTACAAATCATTGATTGTTTGGATTTAAAAAATCAGTTAAAAATGTCATATAGGGGACAAACACAGTGATATTTGAGAAGTGAAATGAATTTTATATGATTTACAGAAAGTGTGCAATAATTGGTTAAACAAAATTRGRCAGGTGCATAAATTTGGGCACTGTTGTCATTTTATTGATTTCAAAACCTTTAGAACTAATTATTGGAACTTAAATTTGGTTTGGTAAGTTCAATGAACCTTGACCTCCATACACAGGTGACTCCAATTATGAGAAAGGGTATTTAAGGGGGGCAATTGTAAGTTTTTCTCCTCTTTGCATCTTTTCTGAAGAGTCACAGTATGGGAGTCTCAAAACAACTTTCAAATGAGCTGAAAACAAAGATTGTTCACCATCTTGGTTTAGGGGAAGGATACAGAAAGCTATCTCAGAGATTTCAGCTTTCAGTCTCCACTGTGAGAAAATGGAGGACCACAGGCACAGTTCAAGTCAAGGCTCCAAGTGGCAGACCAAGACAAATCTCCAATAAACAGAAGTGAAGGATGTTGAGAACAGTCAGAGTCAACTCACAGACCAGCACCAAAGACCAACAACATCATCTTGCTGCTGATGGAGTCACTGTGCATCGTTCAACTATTCAGCACACTTTACACAAGGTGATGCTGTATGTGAGAGTGATGCAGAGGAAGCCTTTTCTCCGCCCACATCACAAACAGAGCTGCTTGAGGTATGCTAAAGCACATTTGGACAAGCCAGCTCCATTTTGGAATAAGGTGCTGTGGACTGATGAAACTAAAATAGAGTTATTTAGGCAGAACAAGGGCCGTTATGCATGGAGGAAAAAGAACACAGCACTCCAAGAAAAACACCTGCTACCTACAGTGAAATGTGGGGGTGGTTCCATCATGCTGTGGGGCTGTGTGGCCAGTACAGGGACTGGGAATCATGTTAAAGTTGAGGGACGCATGGATTCCAATCAATATCAGCAGATTCTGGAGACCAATGTCCAGGAATCAGTGACAAAGCTGAAGCTGCACCGATCTTCCAACAAGACAACCACCCTAAACACTGCTCAAAATCTACTAAGACATTCATGCAGAGGAACAAGTACAACATTTTGGAATGGCCATCTCAGTCCCCAGATCTGAATATTATTGAAAATCTGTGGTGTCACTTAAAGAGAGCTGTCCATGCTCAGAAACCATCAAAGAATGAACTAGAGATGTTTTATAAAGAAGAATACCATCAGACACAATCCAGACTCTCATTAGAAGCTGTAGGAAGTGTTTAGAGAATGTTATTTCTGTGAAAGGAGGAGCTACTAAATATTGAGTTAAGGGTTTTTTCATGATGCCCAAATTTATGCACCTGCCTAATTTTGTTTAACCAATTATTGCACACTTTCTGTCAATCATAACTTCATTTCACTTCTCAAATATCACTGTGTTTGTCCCTGATATATTTTACTGATTTTTTTATCCAAATAATCAATGATTTATAAAGGTAAATCAGGAAAATTAACAAGGCTGCCCAAACTTTAGCACCCCACTGTATGAAAATTTTAAAAGACGTATGTTGAACACGGAGTTAAAAGAAAATTAACTGGAATCCTTTTTTAGGCATACTGCAATGCTAACAAATTGAGTCCTATGGGCCTCATTAGCTGGTAGGATTCTTTAGGCAGCTGAGGATTATCAGCAAGTCAAGCGAGCTGCAGCCCTTGCCGAGGCAGAGGGTCAAATAAGGAGTAAGGCCTTGGGTAGAAACTCTCAAACCACTCTAAGAAGAAATCTTCAGGTGGCTGAAGTGGGAAAAGTTGCTCAATATCAACACTGTATATTGGGGGTGGGGTGCTGTTGATCTCATGGGAAGAATACAGTATGTTGTGAGATTGACAAAGTATTCCATACTCTGAGCATGTCCATTGTGAAGTAGGAACTGGGCTGCAATCAAAGCTCCTTGTCTATGTTTTTATCCTCACCTATAGTCTTATATTTAAAGGAACCAGATGAAGTAGTTCAGATATTTGGTAAGGATTCTCTAGACYAGTGGTTSCCAAAGTTGGGGTCGGGACCCACAGTGGGGTCCCGAAACATCAAGKTGGGGTCCTGAAAAGATTGTCTGAATTAATTACACTAAAAAATTACAACTAACAACTATTTTTTGCTTTTGTTGTTACAAAAGAGTAAATTTAGTGTACCYAAAATGGACAAAAAGAGAGTAATAAGTTTTGTTACTTTGCACCTGTTTATTTGAAGTGAAAACAATGTTTATCAACCAACAACAGCTGGGGTCACAGGTCTCTGCTGCTGGTATTTTGTGGGTCAAAAGCTGAAAAGTTTGGGAACTACTGCTCTAGACGCCTTTCTGGGTTTATCCAGCTGGGAAAAAACTCAGAGAAGACTCATGAAATGCTGGATAAACTACAGTATGTCTCTCAGCTGGCCTGGGAACTCCTTACTGTGGAMAGAGATGGCTGTGCCTCCTTGGTCAAGCTGCTACCCCTGCAACCTTGTTCCAGAACAAGCAGCAGATAATGGATGGAAGGATGGATAGTGAACAAACCTGGGCCTTGTTTAGATCCAAGTTTATACACACATGGACAAAATTGTTGGTACCCTTTGTTTAATGAAAGAAAAACCCACAATGGTCACAGGAAAAACTTGAATCTGACAAAAGTAAATAAAAATTCTACAAAAATGAACAAATGAAAGTCAGACATTGTTTCACAACCATGCTTCAATAGAATTTAAAAAAAAAACTACAATAAAACAGGCCTGGACAGAAATGATGGTACCCCTGAAAATAATGTGACCAAAAGGACAAATGAAACCTTTTGTGTCACAGGTGTCTACAATCTTATAATCAGTCAGTGGGCCTGTATATAGGGCTACATACAGATACTGTGCTGTTTGGTGACGTGTGGAGCACTCTCAACATGGACCAGAGGAAGAGAAGAAAAGAGTTGTCTCAGGAGATTAGAAAGAAAATTATAGACAAGTATGTTAAAGGTAAAGGTTATAAGACCATCTGTAGCAGCTAAATCCTGTATGTAGCGCTACTGCTTGCAGACTGTTCTGGTAGACTTGGTTTTTACATGTGCTCAATAAAGCTCACCATGCCAATCTTTGTTTCCACATTATATTACAAGCTATTTATTCTTCTTTACATCCAGTTTGAAAGCATCCACATGATTTCTTTGAGCTCCAGACTAAGCACAGTAGAAAACTGCCCCTCCTGGTCACAACACCTGAACAGAATCACACTTAACTTTAAATAGCCCCATCCCTCACCTGTCAATTAGTATACAAACAGAAATACAACCCCCTAGTGGTGATAAAMAATAAAAACAAGATATTTGGCTCCTACACCATCTYCATGCAGCTTGATGTTCCTGTGACTACAGCTGCACATATTCAGAAATTTAGGATCCATGGGACTGTAGCCTACCTCCCTGGTCGTGGCCACAGGAGGTGACAGATCAGCTACGTGAGGTACATGTTAGCTACATCAGAACTTATTTGTTAAATGTGTTTCCATCTCTCCTTTTGCACATTAACTCTTTTTCAAAAAAAAAAAAAAAAAACCAAAACCACCTCAAGCGAGGGTGTAAACCTTTTTGGGAATTAGAGGAAGTTTTTTCGAATCATGCCATTTCCATTCACCTTTTCTGATGTGATACTTCAAAATGTGCATTAAAAAATTGTTGATGGAAACACAACTACTGTCTCTAAAATAAATCCCATGACCCAGCTGGATTTGACTCACAGATCAGTCACTTCTTGGCCTCTTCCTCCTTGTGTGACATCTAACAGTCTGCAGATTRTATTTAAGATTCTCACAAATTTAATTTATGTAATGTGGATACTAAAGTCATAATTTTTTTTATTTCAGTAAGTTTAATTGTGGTTTTAAACAAGTTTAGTGTTTTTCTCTTTAACCTCGTTTTGGCAAGGCACATTAGCTTTCTGTTCACAGAGGGGAAAAATGAAGCATRTGAAGAAACTGTCCCTACTGTGAAACATGGAGGAGGTCTGTTATGTTCTGGGGCTGCTTTGCTGCATCTGGCACAGGGGGGGTCTTGAATCTGTGCAGKGTACAATGAAATCTCAAGWCTKTCAAGGATTCTAGAGAGRAATGWRCTGCCCAGTGTCAGAAAGCTTGGTCTCAGTCACAGGTCATGGATCTTCAACAGGATAATGACCCAAAACAGCTAAAAACAGCCAAGAATGGCAAACATGCCGTCTGGAGAAGGGAACCTTCAAACCTGAGACAACTGGAGCAGTTTGCTCATGAGRAGTAGAATAAAATGCCTGCTGAGACGTGCAGAAGTCTCACTGACAGTTACAGGAATCATTTGATTGCAGTGATTGACTCAAAAGGTTGTGCAATAAAATGTTAAGTTAAGGGTTCATTTCTGTCCAGGCCTGTTTCATGAGGTTTATTTATTTTTATTCTGTTGAAGCATGGCTGAAAAGCAATGTGAATTTCATTTGTTAATTTTCATAGATCTTTTTTTTAATTATTACTTGACCATTGTGGGTTTTTCTTTCATTAAATGAGGGGTACCAACAATTTTGTCCACATGTGTAATTTTGGTCCCGTTTGACACCCTGCTTGTTAAAGACTACAGTGAAAAAAGATTCAATCTCTTTAAAATGCATGGATAGTTTTACCTATCTTTTGTATCAAAAACATTGCATTAACATTGGTATTTTTTAAATTATATTATCAAATCTTTTCTTTTTTTGTTGCTTTGTCTTTTTATCTTTTTCATATTAATGTTCAGTGTCCCCCAYCCCCGACCTTTAGATGTTGATTTGTTAATGATTGTATTTCTAAGAAGTACAGATCAAAGGGAGCCAGGGCTGTGCTTTCAGTTTTGTAGAACTGGCTGAAACCAGTTGGTTCAACCGAGGGGAAATTTCTTGGAAGTATTTTGTGTGAGAGGAACTCTTCTAGTTTATTTAGCTTTATAGCTCAACACGGGTCAATAGCAATATTGTTAAACGCTCATTTTATTGTCTCTTTGATTATAGTTATATCATCTGTCACCTGTATGGTCTCAGCTGTGAAATACAATGTAGCAAACAWGGAAAACAAAATAGCATGTTTGACTGACGGACGTGAAGTGACCAATGATTGCATTCACTACTAAATTTCTCCTTTGCATTTAACTCATCAGTTTTTCAGATGCAGTACATGCACACATTAAGGGATGTTTTCATTACATTTAATTTAAGACAGTACTGTAAACGTAAGAGGTCTTTAATTGGAAGTGTGAATTACAATATCTAAAATGGAGCATAAAAAGATGTTAAGTGAAATATACAAGTAAAGATGTCATGTTTTAAAACAAAAATAATAATTCTAGGGTAGTTGTAGTTTACACAGTAGTCACAAATATACATCAAGCTGTTTAAATTGTAACAAGAGTTCAGCAGTTTGTGTTTCATTAATACCCAACAGGTCTGACAATTGTATGTATAAGAAATGATTGTTTATGAGTAACAGATGAGAGTCTCATCAATCTCTTGTGGTCCAAATTCTGTCTGTCAGACCTGTGTCCATCACAGGTGTCAGATCACCAGGTTCAAAGGCGCAGGTCTCTCTAGATGGAGGCACTACCAAGATCTCAAACGCCACTTCAAAGCTGGCCCTGGCCTCCCCAGACTCACGGACAATGAGCATCTCATACTCCCCAAACCGGATCAGAGCCTTGTCTGGTAGGTCCATCCTCTCCAGGTAACCCAGCGCTGAGCTGTTCACCGACAGACGCCCTCTCTGGCTCAGGTTCTGGATGGTGAACAGCAGGTCTGGGTTCTGAGGTGAACGGTAAGCAAAGATACACAGCTGTTTACGGGACACCGTAGGGTCAGCCAGAGAGTAGGTGCAGGAGCCAGGGTCACGGCCCACCCTGAGAGGATCATCAGCCGAGTGCCGTCTCCTGGTTCCCAGAGGGAGTAAATTATAAAGACTCCTGGAACCCTGATGTGGGTGATAAAGCTTAATATGGAGACAAGTGAGGAGGTCCTCCTCTGTTTCCATGGTCTGCGGCGTGCTCATCATGAAGACGTAGTCCTGAACGTGAAGAAACTCAAGCATTTAAAGAGAAATGTTTTCTGATCTTACAGAAGTTTAATATGCCTAAAATATAAAAATAAAAAGTAGTAAAGTTAAAAATATGACATTTTTGACTTACCTTACACACATACAGTGTATACTTTAAATTAGGAGAAAATACRTTTCTGAAAAACTATAAATCCAACGTCAACTCAGAGAGAAGGAGCTGCTGTCTGGAGTAAAAACAGGAAGCCAACTGCCTGTTGTTTTCACTTCTCACTGGTGTCTTCTTGCACACGTTACACACGCCCCCAAGTCACCCTGCTGCTTTCAACTGCAGATCTGGAAATTCCACAGTTGTAGTGTTTTGTGACTGACTAGATTTGAAAAGAACTAGAAAGTAAATATACATTTTCATGTTTTTAAATACACTAAAGAATAGTGAATTTGAATGACAAACAAATGGAAAATTAGGGATGTTTAATCAGAAATGTTAGTTCTGTAGTTTTGTGTACTAATTATTTATTTATTCTTAAATAAATAATTAGTGATTTCACATTTGATACGGACATTGCAGCACTTACTGGAAACCACTACATCCACATCCCACTGAGATAAAGATAAAGACCTGGGGTCAGATTTATAAAGGATTGCATGGAAACCGTACTAAAAGTGAAAGTACAGCCAAAAGGCAAAAATGAAAAAAAAAAAATCTGATTTATAAAACCGTGCGTACAAATATTTCATCGTGCCTTTCCTTTATAGATCACAGCTGCACCTCAGAGTTTGCACACAACGTCCTGCCTCAGGTTCTACCCTCTACACGCCCAAATAAACATTCAATGCAAAGTACCTCATGAATGTTAAGGTGTATTTAAATCCAGTGGCAGCAGCCCTCAAACCCGCTGGTGGACATTGGCGGTGAGGGATGCTGTCAGGCTGAAGAAGGAGTCCTATCGGGTCTTTTTGGACTGTGGGACTCCGGAAGCAGCCGATAGGTATTGGCAGTCCAAGCGGATTACATCTTGGGTGGTCGCTGAGGCAAAAACTCGGGCGTGGGAGGAGTTTGGAGAGGCCATGGAAAAAGACTTCCTTCCGTACAGCTTCGGGGCGATTCTGGTCCACCATCCGGCGTCTCAGGGGAGGAGCGGTGCATTACCAACACTGTTTATAGTGGGGATGGTGCGCTGCTGACCTCAACTCAGGATGTGACCTCAACTCAGGATATTGTGGGTCGGTGGGCGGAATACTTCGAAGACCTCCCCAATCCTACTGACACGTCTTCACATGAGGAAGCAGAGCCTGGGGACCCTGGGTCGGATTCTACCTGCCTCAGGTTCTACCCTCTACACGCCCACATAAACAGTCAATGCAAAGTACCTCATGAATGTTAAGGTGTATTTAAATCCAGTGGCAGCAGCCAATCTCTGGTGCTGAGGTCACTGAGGTGGTTAAAAAGCTTCCCGGTGGCAGGGCGCCGGGGATGGAWGAGATTCGCCCCGAGTTCCTTAAGGCTCTGGATGTTGTGGGGTTGCATTGGTTTATGCAACTCTACAATATCGCGTGGACAACGGGGGCAATTGCCCTAGATTGGCAGACYGGGGTGGTGGTCCCCGTATTTAAAAAGTGGGACCGCAGAGTGTGTTCTAACTGTAGGGGGATCACACTTCTGATTCTCCCTGGTAAGGTCTATTCGGGGGTTCTGGAGAGCAGGGTCCGTCGGATAGTCGAATCTCGGATTCAGGAAGAACAGTGTGGTTTTCGTCCTGGTCATGGAACACTGGAGCAGTTCTACACCCTCAGCAGGGTCCTGGAGGGTGCATGGGAGTTCGCTCAACCAGTCCACATGTGTTTTGTGGACTTGGAGAAGGCGTTTGACCGTGTCCCTCGGGGACTCCCGTGGGTGCCCTGGATTGGCAGACCGGGGTGGTGGTCCCCCTATTTAAAAAGGGGGACCGCAGAGTTTGTTCCAACTGTAGGGGGATCACACTTCTGATCCTCCCTGGTAAGGTCTATTCGGGGGTTCTGGAGAGCAGGGTCCGTCGGATAGTCGAATCTCGGATTCATGAAGAGCAGTGTGGTTTTCGTCCTGGTCGTGGAACACTGGACCATTTCTACACCCTCAGCAGGGTCCTGGAGGGTGCATGGGAGTTCGCTCAACCAGTCAACATGTGTTTTGTGGACTTGGAGAAGGTGTTCGACCGTGTCCCTTGGGGACTCTTGTGGGGGGTACTCCGGGAGTATGAGGTGCCAAGCCCTTTGATATAGGCTGTTAGGTCCCTCTACGACCTGTGCCAGAGTTTTTTCCGCATTGCTGGTAGTAAGTCAGACTCATTTCCGGTGAGGGTTGGACTTTGCCAAGGTTGCCCTTTGTCTCTGATTCTGTTCATAACTTTTATAGACAGTATTTGTAGGTGCAGCCAAGTGTTAAGGGGATCCGTTTTGGTGACCTTTGATCACATCCCTGCTTTTTGCGGATGATGTGGTCCTATTGGTTTCATCAGATTGTGTTCTCCAGCTTTCACAGTGGCGGTTCGCAGCCAAGGGTGAAGTGGACTGGATGAGGATCAGTGCCTCTAAGGAGGAGTTTAGGTATCTTGGGGTCTTGTTCATGAATGAAGGAAAAATAGAGCGGGAGATTGATAGCGTATTGTTGCTGCATCTGCAGTGATGCCGGTGCTGTACCTATCCGTCATGGTGAAGTGAGAGCTGAACTAAAATTTGAAGCTCTTGATTTACCGGTCAGTCTATGTTCCAAACCTCATCAATGGYCATGAGCTTTGGGTAGTGACCGAAAGAACAAGATCGCGGATACAAGCGGCCAAAATGAGTTTCCTCCGCAGGGTGTCTGGGCTCTCCCTTGGAGATAGGGTGAAAAGCTTGGTCATCCAGGAGGGACTCAGAGTAGAGCCACTGCTCCTCCACGTTGAGAGGAGCCAGTTGAGGTGGCTCAGGCATCTGGTTTGGATGYCTCCTGGACTCCTCTCTGGTGAGGTGCATGTCCCACTGGGAGAAGACCCAGAGGTAGACCCAGGACACCCTGGAGGGACCATGTTTCTCGGCTGGTCTGGGAATGCCTTGGGATTCCCCCAGACGAGCTGGCTCAAGTGGCTGGGGAGAGGGAAGTCTGGGTCTCTCTGCTTAGACTGCTGCCCCCTTGACCCAACCCCGGATAAGCAGAAGAAAACAGACGGACAGCTGGACGGACAGACGGGCAGACAACTTGTGCCAACTTGTAAAAAGTTGTCCAGCACTAAAGATGTCTAAGGCAGGATTACGTAAATCTACTGGAAGCCTCTTTTTGACCTTTACATTCTGTTATGCTAATTGTTGAGATCGACCTCAATTAGAGCACAACCAGTCATTTCTAATCATTCCAGCCTATTCCATGAGGCCTGAAGTCAGACCCCCCACCTATTCGACTTGGCTAAGAATAGGTACCCTGACTCTGACTGGCCCACTAGACAAATAGGACTTTTTTATGAAGTACAAACTGGATTAAAAGAGATTGAGTGTCTGTTTTCTACCACTTATGTTAGCTGAGGGTCACCCAGACAACCTCTGAAATGCCAGAGACACAGACACCTTCAGGAAGGCCTGGGCAGTGCTCCTCACACTCCTCTGATCAGGGTTCTTAAGCTGCAAGCAGGAGGGGGTAACCCACTTTACCTTGGCATTACCTCAGCACAAGGAGTTTTATGGTATTAATTGCAGGACCCAGAAACTGAACTTTAAAAGTAACTCGCCACAGAAGCAGTGAAAATCCAGGAGCCACAGATCTGTTTTGTGCATGCAGGCAAAAATTTATTAAGGTGAACAAAAATGAGAATGTAGTAAACTTAGCCCACTAGACTTAGAGTAGTGTGGTTATCCTGACTGGGCTTTCCTGAAAGCAGACAGGAAACACAGACAGGATTCCAT